TGACTTTGTAAACTGCTTAGAGAGGGCTGAAAGCCCTATGAAGCGGTATATAAGTCTAACTGCTATTTCATAAATCCCCAAAATTGAATGTCTATGTTTTGTTTTGTTTTATTTTATTTTATTGTGATATGTAGTTTCCATGAGAAATAGCCTGATGCATTTCCATTGGAAAAGGAGGACACTGAATGCCTTGCAAAAGGCTTTTAATCCCTAGAATCATGAATAAAGACAAGACAGCTGGGTGCTCTGGAAAGCCTTAGATTCATCACATACAGATACAAAAATAATATTTTCTAAGAGCACATTAAGAAGCTACAAGAGGTAGGAATAGAAATCAAATGGAGTTTTGTCAAAAACTTTTAATTCAAATAATACATTCTTGATTGTTGAGATATGAAAGATAAGAGATTGGAGATGAATTTTTATTACAAGTGTTAAGTGTGCAAACCTACCCCTAAATGTTCAATGTACAGAACACCTACCACACTTGGTGTTTTCCTTTGGGATCCAGGCCAGTGGTTGGTTCATCTAGTAGCCACACGGTAGGATTACTCAACATGCTCAGGGCAAAGCACAACTGAAATGCAGGAAATTATATTAAACCTTAAATATTTCACACACAAAAAAGATGGAAATGTGAAGAATACACATTTCAATATGTTCTTTAAAAATGTGTTTTCTTAATGACCGCTGCACAAATGGAAAAGCTACGTATCAGTGAGGACAAACATGTTAGGGTTCTGTGATACTAACCAAAAAACTGTGAATTATTAAAATGCATTTTAATTTTTACACAATATCTTCTTGAAGGACTAGAAAGGGCAAAGATATTCTTTCACTCTGTTCTACTGCAAACCTCATCAGATTTGAAAACAGTCTTTGTGGCTTAACATAAAATACATTTGGAGATGTAACAAAGTCCCAGGAATTACCGATTTAGATTTTTAAGACAATTATCAGGAGAGTTATCCCATTAAAGCAAAGTCTACAAGTTTCTTGGCATAAATTTGTGCATGCTTAATTCATTTATAATTCCATAGAGCTTCCAGGTACTGCAGCCCACCAACAATATATGAAAATATTAACATTCTTAAATAAGGATTAAAAATCTGAGGACATAGGCAACCAAATGGAACAAAACTGTACATGGTTAAGAATAATTGGATAGCGATTTTTAATGTCCTGATTTACATTATGCAGTTCAGTTTGTAATGGCTGAATTCTGTATAATTATACAGAATATAACAGAATTTCAGAAAACAATTGAGGAATGTAATGTATCCTAATGCTATGTAAAGAAGTAAATCAGTTTAGACATTTTTGGGATTGAGTACTCGGGAATATGCTATTCTATCATTTTCCTTTCCTTTAGTCCAAAGTGACCAGACATCCTGCTTTTGGCAGGACAGTCCTGATTTTTAACAATTTGTCCCATGTCCCACAGCGTTTTTAAAAAGTCCCGATTTTTGGAAAGAATGTACGAGCTAGGGAATGGTGGGAGAACAGGAAGGGAACACTGTTCCCTCTAAGGTGTGTGGCTGCACGGCCGCGCATGTGGCAAGAAAACACAGCGCAGCAGGTTCTAACTGCCGCACAGTGATTTCTGTCACAGGCTCCGGAAGCTGAGGGGCCTCAGAAAATCTAGGGTTAGACAGGCGCAGGGACGGCGGCAGGAGCTTGCGTGGCACAGCCGGTCTCCTAGGACCTTCTAGGCACCGGCTGCGCCGCTCATTACCGTCAGTCACCCCGTGTTCAGCAAAGCAAACGCAGGGAAGTCCTTTGCAGGTGGCTAGAACTGGCCGCCCACAAAGGACCTCCCCAGACTTGTTTTGATGAGCACGGAGCGACTGATGGCAGTTTGCGCTGGCTGCGGTTGCTCAAACTAGCATCAGTTGCCACGTATTCAGCAAAGCAAGCCCGGGGAGGTCCTTTTGGGTGGCCAATACTAGCCGCTTGCGCCCAGTGCTGCGGCTGAAGTGAACCCCCAAAGCCCCCACCGCCACCAGAATATCTGCTGCCGCCTTCTCCTCCTCCAACAGCACTGCCGGATTTGCCGTCTGATGCTGTGGCTGAGGTGAAGCCGCCAAAGCTCCCACTGGCACCCCTGCTCATGGCAGTGGTGCCTCCCCCTCCATGCAGAGCACCTGATCTTGGTGTTATCCCTCCCCCCTCCTCCCCGTGCTTTTGAGGAGCCATGAGGCCGCGGGAGCCAGCAGGAAGGCGGGGGTGGGGGCAGGAGCAGGAAAAAAAGGCCTCATGGCTTCTCAAAAGCATGGCGGCGGAGGAGGATATGGCAGGGGTAACGCGTAGCTCAGCTCAGGTGCTCCGAGCAGAGGGGGAGGCACCGTTGCCGCTGCCACTGGCGGGCCACCAGCGGGAGCTTTGGCGGCTTCATTTCAGCCACAGCGCTGGGCAGCAAATGTGGTGGTGCTGTTGGAGGAGGAGGAGGCGGCTGAAGTTATTCTGGTGGTGGTGGGGGGCTCATCGGCATCTTCAGCGGCAGCCCTGCCCCCAGTGAAAAAACCGAAGATGGAGCAGATCCACGCAGATGACATCACCGCAACATGACTAGAGGAAGAATTCTGGGAGTTGAAGTCCACAAGTCTTAAAGCTGTCAGGTTTGAAGACCCCTGGGGTTTTTTTCCCTAAAGGGTTATGGGTGCAAGGATCTTGTAACAACAGCTTTAAGACTTGCATGCTTCAATGCCAGAGTTTCTGAGCCAACATGACTGGAGGAGGAATTCTGGGAGTTGAAGTCCACAAGTCTTAAAGCTGTCAGGTTTGAAGACCCCTGGGTTTTTTTTCCCTAAAGGGTTATGGGTGCAAGGATCTTGTAACAACAGCTTTAAGACTTGCATG